GGGGCTGCCCCAGAGAGGAGGAAGGGGGTCAAGCTATTTTTTAAAGCACCCGAAGGCCAGGCAAGGAATAGTGGATGGAAACTGAACAAGGAGAGATTTAACCTGGAAATAAGGAGAAACTTTCTAACAGTGAGAACAATCAACCCATGGAACAGAAGTTGCCCTCGGACGTTGTGGGAGCGCCATCACTTGAGACTTTCAAGAAGAGATTGGACTGCCATTTGGCAGAAATGGTGTAGGGTCTCCTGCTTAGGCGAGGGGTTGGACTAGATGACCTACAAGGTCCCTTCCAACTCTGATTATCCGTAAGTCTGTAAAATGTACCAGAACCATTTGTCATCCTGATGAGCCATTGCTAATTGTGAGAATTGATTTTGCGAAATATGTAGCTTTATAAATATATTTGGACATAGAAGGCCAAACCACGAGGAATAAGGAACTGAAAGTAGCCAATGGATAGAGGTTTGAGAGGTATATGTGGAAACTGTCGGCCAGTATGAAAGAACAAGGAAATAACTTCAGTAAAATTCCACTTATTGAGGGGGCTGTCAGAAGGAAGTACGAGAGGAGGAGATGAGTCTCAGATCATGGCCATTGGCCGTAGCTTTGGACCTAGCTATTGTCTCTGGACCTCACTGCAATGGGTTATTGATGTAAGTAATGATGGCTGTTCAAATTGCTCATGAAATAAACCTTTGAATCTCAAAGTGAGAATTGTTTGTGGTTTGTCCGTGTTCCTCTTTATTGGGATTTTGACGGCACCAGACAGATGCAAAATCTTCTGGGCCAGGAAGAGAACATTGTGGGAAAATCCAGATTGCTCTCAACATCAGCAATCCAGCCATTCTAGGGAGGCCTGTCCTGGATGGACAATCGCAATGGAGCCCAAGATTTCCATTGCTAAACAAGACAGTCTAGCAATGCAGCATCTTGTCTCATTTTACGACCTTTCATGCCACAGTGAAGGGAATCACTGCAGTTGTTAGATTAGTAGCATGGTTGTTAAGCCAGTCCAGCTTCCTCACCAATTTTGCTTTGCCAGAAGATTGCAAAAAGTGGACCATCATAAATAGAAGCATCAACATTTTGATCACATGACCATGGAGATCTCCAATGGTCGCGTGGGAAAACAGTCATAAGGCACTTTTTCCCAATGCCGTTCTAGCTTGGTCACTGCATGAATGGTTGCAAGCCAAGGACTGCGTGTATTGACTTCCGGTGTACAGGATTAACTTCTGAAAAACCCGCCAGATCAGCCCCCAGGATGAGTGGGTTGGTGTGGTGCTAATGGAAGGTTCTGGAGTCCTCTCGAGTGTTCCATTTTCAGAATGGACAATTTTGTATACCTTTGGTTCAGAACATTGTCAGCTTTAACCCTCTTCAAATGTCAGGAGGCAATTAACAATAATTCAGAAAATACACACTAATGCTTCAAATATGAAAGGTTTTGTAAAATGCATACCAGGAGATTGAGCAGAAGTAAAATTCCATGTGGGTGGGAAACATTCGAAACTTGCCATTCCTTCAGCAAAAAGTTATTTTCATGAGAAAGACTGACTCACAAAAGAGTTCATGATTTTTTTTAAAAAAATGAACCTCCTGTGCTGATAAGTTCACTAGAAAATGTACCTTACCCAGTTTGCAGCTGCAGTACACTAAAGAGCCTCCAGGTAGCAGCAAAGAGATACAGAAAAAAAATAAATTCCTCCACTGCCACCTAGTGATCAAGTAGGGGTTTGCAGGATAGTTATAACCCGGATTCAAATAGGTAGGTACTACATTTCTCCCTTAATCTTTCTCAAATCTTACAGAGAAACAAGGCACCGTGCCCAGTGTAATCCATTAGTTAGGACAGCATATCAAACTTGGTTCCCGAAATAATCCATCTTTCGAGATCATGCCATATATTGAAGCGGAAACTAATTGAAGAAGTTAGGCGTGTCCAACACGCCGACTGCAAAACCAAGGTTAAAAGCAAACAACCCTTCGTATATTTGCACAAAATGCATCCACTAGACTTCCCATTGACCGGGTTAAGTGTGCGATGTGAACCAGGTGTCTTCCTGCCAAGAACATTTCTTTTCCTCACGCGCACCTAAGTAGCATTCACAGGCTTTACTTACTCCCTCGGGTGCTGCCCAGACCCATTAATCCTGAGAGCAAAGATTACGGCCTGTTTAGCAGGCTGTGGTACTTAATCAATAGAAACCAAGCCTGTCCAAAGTCTATCCATGCAAACGCCAGACAAAGGGACGCAACAATGGTTTGTCAAGTCAACAGAGACCTGATAATCCTCCAGCAACCTGACTCGGAGACCTTCTAAAGTGGGCCCAACCTTAGGACAACTGGAGCGCCACGGCTGCCTTGTTCCTTGTGAGGGAGACCTTTTTATGAGGACCATTGTTGAGAAGATCTGTTTTGTAGTTGAACAACCCTCTGTAAGTTTGGGAGGTTAAGATGAGAAGATCTGGTGAGGATCCCCGGATGGTCAGGATCTTCTCCAGGTCTCCTAAAAAGAACAAAGCCACCCTTTCCAATTCTCAAGAAGCAAGTCATCCCTCAAATGTCAAAAGATCTTGCTCCTGTGAGTCCTCGAGAAGGCAGGAAATTGCAGAGTCATGTGTCATGTTCTCCGTGGTGGCTCTACCAAACTGGAAGCAAGTCATCCTGGCACGTAAGGGAGTAGGATGTCAAACTTTTGCTCTGAAATTAAGACTGAGGACGGTCCAAGTTTCCAAACCAGGGAACGTGGCCATGCTAAGGAACCCTGCTACCATGGAATTTGAGAGGAACCACCCATGCGGATGGCTTGCAAAAAAGAAGATATCTAGCAGGGGATTTTGGTTTACAGGATTTTGGCCTAACCCATGGGGTCCTTTTGGTTGATAGACTCCATGAAACCTCCAGCTTCAAAGGCCATCCACCTCTGAATTCAAAGATTTTGGGGAATAAGAGTGGGAAGCTAAGAGTTGGGACCAAGGCTTGCCAGAGGAGGCGAGACGAACTAATCTTTGGTACAAACCTAACCGAGAAACCCTTCCCGGATTCTCCACGGCTAAGAAAGGTTCACCGAGTTCGGCTCATGTTTGATTAGTAATTCAATCCCTAGGGTTTTTATAAAGGGAAGGCCCAACCCAGCTGATCTGGGCTTAAAGTCCAATGCCGCAGAAATGACCCGGCGACGGCCGCTTCAAAGGAAGCCCACTTTGGAACTGTTGTGTGCCCTTTGTGAGAACTCTCAAAAGCTGCCTTCCCCATATAACCCCCCAGGAGAGAGGCTGCCTTGCCAAAACCTTTCCTTACCTTCCCCCCCACCCTTCTCTCTCTCTCTCTCCTGTCCCTTTAGACTTGGCCTTCAAAGATTGATAGAAGCAGGAGGGTTTGTTTGGCTTTGAACGTTTGCAAATATGTAATTTCTCCCCTTCCGGTCCTTACGCAACCAACACACGGCTTCCACTCAACAGCAAACAACAGACCACGCATTTCTAGTTCCAACACCCTGGTGTTTCTGAAAGCAACAAGCTTAACTTCTCCCTCTATCCAGGATGAGAGAGCCCCAGGCAAGACCACATCTGGGACAGAAAAACTGCAAAAAATAAAAATAAAAAAAGCGCATGTGCTTCTATTTATTCTTGCAAACAAACACCCCCCCCCTCAAACCCACTCTTTTCTATCTCAACAGCCTTAAAGAACCCAATTATTTGAATGCTGCTGCAGAATTATTTTAAAAAAGGGGGGTTGGCAGGATATAAAAACACAAAAACAGCCCAGCAGGCCCTCCCCTTCTTGGGGAGGGGGCACGAAAGCGAAATCCACTCGGGCAAACAAAAGAGCCGTTTCAGAAAAATGCGCTGCTGTGGCATCCGCCAACCCTTCGCGCCTTGGCAAAGAGACGGGAATGTCAGTGGCCTCCCTGCTGCCTCCTCCTCGCCTTGCCCGGCGGATGGACGGGCGTGTGTGTGTGTGTGTGTTTGTGTGTGCGCGCGTTGCCGCAGCAGTCGCTCCGTTTCCCCGGCCAGCCATCCAGCCATCCAGCCGGCCTGCCTGTTGATGTGCCTGGCGAAGGGGAGCAGCGCCCCCCGCCCCATCAGCTCCTCCCTCCCTCCCTCCCCTCACTTAAGGGCTGCTCCCTCCCAAGGTGGCTCTGTTTGCATACATTAGAACTGGCAAAGATTCCTGCAGTCGCCGCCGCCGTCGCCGCTGCCGCCTCCTCCTCCTCCTCTTCCTCCTCCGCCCCAGTCAGATACATCAACACGAAACAGCCGAGTTGCTATCCTGGGGGGGTTCTTTCCCCCCCCCCCCCCCACCGCCAGCAAGCAGCAGCGAACCACCCCTTTCCCCCCCCCCCCCGTCTCTGCCGGCTGTTTCCTTTCCAAAGGGTTGCTCCCTAATTTTAAATGCAGGACTCCCCTTTGGAAAGACCCCCCCCCCCCCCCCTTGGGGGGGGGGGGGGGCTTGCTGCTCTTCTGAAAGGGAAGCCCGGATAGATCTTTGAGGAGGGTCCCTTCGGGAGAGAGAGGAGGGGGGAGAGGGCTTGGTGGGGGCGGGTAGGGGCTCTCTCCTCCGCCCGAGAAGGAGAGGCAGACTTGGGTGCCTTGCAAGGAAGTCTTTTTTTTTTTTGGTTTTTCCGCTTGGCTTGGCTTTCCCAGGTTTGGAGTCCGGTGGGATAGCCGTCTCTCTCTCTCGTCCGCCCCCCTCCCCTCCTCCTCCTCCTCCTCTTCCTCCTCCTCGGTCCCCGCGCGGAGCCCTTCCGTGCAAAACATCCCACCCTCCTCGCAGCAGCCGCGCCAGAGGAAAACCCCCTTTCGAGGCGGCCGAGGCTTCCTTGCAACGTCGGAGAAAGAAAAGACTCGGCAGCTTCTCCCCCTCCGGCGCCTTGCAGGCAAAGGCGCTTCCCTTCCCCGCCACCCCACGGACGGCGCTCCCTCCTCCAACCTCCCTTCCCTTCCCCTCCCCGCAACCCACCGTCCCCTCTCCCAGCCGAGGCGTGGTGGACTCACGGTCGTGCGAGAGATTTCCTCGGCTGGCGGCGATCAAGCCCGAGCTGACCAGGAGCCACAGAGGCAGCATCGTGGGCCGGGGACGCGGGGGGAAAGGCAGAAAGAAAGAAGGGATGAGGGAGGAAGGAAGGGAAGAAAGGAAGGGAAGAAAGGAGGGCAGCGGGGAGGAAGAGGAGGAGGAGGAGGAAGAGGAAGGAGAGGGAGGATGCGATGCCTTCTTCTTCCCCCCCCCCCTCTCGCGGGTGGGCTGGCAAACTTCGTCCTCGCCCCCTCCCCGCCGGCGGGGGGAAAAAGAAGGGCGGGAGGGGCAGAGAAAGCAGGGCTCGACCTTTGCCCCCGACCCCTCCGCCCCGGCTCAGCCTCCGAAAGCGGGACCGCAGTGGCGCGTCGCGGGCCGGCCGGGAGGATGCTCTGCCGAAGGGTCCAGCCGAAAGCCGAGGATGCTGCAGTGACTGGGATTAAATAGAGCACCCGGGAGAGACCATTGGGCCGCCGAGGAGAGGGGAGGACGGGAGCCAGTCGGAAGGCCGAGAGAGGAGGAGGAGGAGGGAGGAGGGGGGGTGTGGGGAGCGGGGGCGGGGGGGGGGCGGGGGCGCGGGAGGGTTTGTATCACCCCACCCTCTCCTATGCAAATCGGGGAGGGGGGGTTCCTTTCAGGCCAGGTGGGGCGCGGCGGAGGCAGACCAGGTGCGCCAGGTGGGATGTCCGGGTTGGGAACCCACGCTGAGCCGGGGTGGGGGGGGAGGGGAGAAAAGGGGGAGAGTGGAGGGGGGGGGAGCCCCCCCGCGCCTCCCCCTCTTAGCAGAGACTTGGTGCGCTCCAGATGGCTCCGTCCCCCCCCCCCCCCCCATTCCCCCCCCCCCCCAGGGAGGAGGAAGCTACGGCCAATATTGGAGATATATATATATATATATATCCAGTATATATAAGATTGGAGCTCATGCCACTGCTGGAGGTTGGGGGAAGTTGCAGAAGGGGAGGGGGCGCTGGGAAGCACCCCCCCCCCAGTAGCCAAACACAACAAGGCTAGGGATGATCATAAGGAGAGGGGATGATGGGTAGGAGGGTCCCAGTTTGAGATGAGCCCATCCGTCGGGAGTGTGGGATTCAGCCTTGGGATCCTTGATCCAAGGTGCCCTAATACCTGTGTGTGTGTGTGATGATGATGATGATACCTGGGTGAGCCAGAGGTTCAAGACTTCTTTGTCTGTCTGTGTGTGTGTGTGTGTGTGTGTGTGTGTGTGTGTGTGTGTGTGTGTTTAAACTTCTAGGTTGTATGCCCAGTGTATGGATGAGGGTGTGTGGGTCAAGATGAACAGCCATACCCAGGGGATCGAAGCCCCACCTGTTAAAAAAACAAAACGACAGGTGGGACACGAATCACCTGTTCAGGGGTTCCATCTCGGTTTTGTCTTACGCCGGAAGGGGCCAGTTGGAATCCAGCCACATAGGTTACAAAGGAGTGTAGGAAGCCCCCCGATTTGCCGCTGGAACGGAGACTACAATTTTGGTCGTGAGTGGTGATGGCCACAAACAGTGGTGGGATTCAATTTTTTTTTTACTACCGGTTCTGTGGGCGTGGCTTGGTGGGCGTGGCAGGGGAAGGGTATACTGCAAAATCCCCCTTCCCTCCCCAGCCCACTAACCTGCTTTCCAGCTCCGTTCTTCTGTGCAGGGCAACCAAAGAAGAGCCAGCCGATCAGCTGGGACTCGATGGGAGGCGGAGAAGAGGTGGGGTTGGCGGGTGGGATTCGCCGGTTCTCCGCATTACTCAACATTTCCGCTACTGGTTCTTCAGAACCGGTTGGGACTGGCTGAATACCACCTCTGGTCACAAAGTGGGTCGTCAGGTGGACGCATTCCGATTTTATCACTTTTTTGTTGTTGTTGTAGTGGTCGTTGAGCAACCCCCTGGTTTGCTAAGGGGTGAATTGGAAGTAAATGCTGGTTTCTGGACAGAAATGGGCAGCAATGGGGGGCGGGGGCATTGGGCCAGTGCCAAAAATTCAGTCACATGACCATGGGGTGATCCTTGACTCTGGAACTTTGAATCTGGGTTGTACGTCCTGTTGTTGTTGTTGTTGTTTTTGAGGTGGGCGGTGGTGGAGTGTGTGCCATAACATCAGACAGTCACTAAGCCACTGGTCCTACCTGTGTATAGTGTTCTCAAAGGGTTCAAGGCTAATTTAGTGGGGAATCTCCCTTAATTTTAGGCTCTCGGGGACAAAGCTAAATGGTAGGGCTGAGAGAGGGGATAGGCCCCAAATCAGGTCGTTCCCCAACTGATCTGCCATCTGTCCGAAATGGGGAAGGGGTCTTCTGCTTGGGGGAGGGAGCAGGGGTTGGACTAGGTGACCTTACAAGGTCCCTTCCCAGTCCGTTATTCTGTTCTGATCAAGGCCTGATCAAGCCCGAGTCTTTTCCTTAACCATACACCCCTCTGCAAGCTTATCAGAAGAATAGAATAGAATAGAATAGAATAAGGGATAGAATAGAATAAGGGATAGAATAAAATAAAGAATAGAATAGAATTCTTTATTGGAATAATAATAAAATTATTATTATATTATTGGAATAATAGTAGAATTATTTTTATTATATTATTGGAATAATAGTGGAATTATTAATAATAAAATTAATAGAAGTGAGTGATATCAGGGCTATTCCCCCCCCCCCCCCAAAAGCACTATTTTTTTTCCAGGGGAAAATGCACAATAAACAACAGAAAGCGAAGCAAAGCAGCCCCATCCCCCACCAATGCAACTCATTGGGATTCAGGGGATGAGAAAATCCGGGGGCTGGACCACACCCTCTTTCAAACCTTTATGCTAAGTCTCAAGCTGCCTGCAGGGGGCACCAGAGTTGAAACACGTTTCCGATGTCATTAACTACCTGTACAGACTAGGACAGAAAGTCTAGAAGGAGCTGGACATCCCTACCCAAAGATAGTTTAGAATCAGAGCAGGGGTGGGATTCTACCAGTTTGCACCTATTTGCTAGAACCGGTTGTTAACATTCTAATCAGTTCTGAGAACTGATTGTTAGAAGAAATGACTGGCCTAATCCTGTAAGGAAGGCAGGAAGGAAACATTCTGGTGTTGCTTACAGAAACTGCCTCCCCATTAACCCTTATTACATTCTTGGCAGGACTAGACTTCCTGTCTCAGGAACCTCTCTGGAGTTTTTTCCCCCTCCTTTGCTGGTACTTTGCTTGTGTGGAGTGACCGTTCAAAGTTACAATCGCACTGAAAAGTGACTTATGACCGTTTTTCACACTTACGACGGTTGCAGCATCCACACAGTCATGAAAGGCCGCGAGGAGATGCGTGCCTCGAAGTGAGTGATATTGAGTTGGCCACGCCCAGCCAGTAACATGAACACCAAGCCATGCCCACCAACTTAGCCACGCCCACAGAACCGGTTGTTAAAAAATTTGAATCCCACCCCTGAATTAAGGTGACAGTCGGTCAACATCCGGTGCAACTAAAGTCATCCCTGTGGGGTGTAGAAGAAGCAGGTGGGGAAATGCAATGCTATGAATCAAGCCAAGTGTGAACTCCACTTGTGGAAACAGGCAGATTCAGAGGTCTAAATGTGTTGGGTTTTTTGTTTTTAATTTTTTAAAAAATTGTCAGCTGGAAAAAATTGCTCTGATATTTTTGGTACCTTAATAGAGAAATTTATAGGGAGGAACTTTGGGGAGGAGAGGGGAAGGAAAGAAGGGAGGAAAATGGAAAGGGTGGGAGAAGGGAAGGAAGGAAGAAGGGAAGGGAGTAAGAAAAGAAAATGGAAAGGGAGGGGGAAGGAAGGAGAGGAA